AGTTTCTCTACGTCTCTCTTCACAGGAAAATCCTGTGAAGAAAAGCGGAGAAAAAAAAACAGAAACCTTTTCTGCCTCGGCCTTAGCCGTCGGTACTCCGAAAGCGTGCTATCCAAGTAGCACGCAGCCGGGTCCCGAAGGTGTCCCATCCCAAATTCGTGCTGTCGACAGACCAGATTCGTGGTCCCTTGGTCGACTACACCCGCCTTTGGACGGTAGCCCGACACAATACATTTGTCTGTCTTTTTGGATTTTTTGGTTCGTCTGGGTAAGGGTTTTGCAAGAAACCTCCTCACCACTGCGAACACTGTCTTGCTCGTAGGAGCCGTTCGTCCTTTGTCCGAGCAAACGCGCGTCCGATCACCCCGTTGAGCACGTGTGCAGGGTATCCGAGCGCCATGAACTCCCTGAGTTTGCTCGTCACGCTGAGCGCGAACCCTTCGTCAATTGTCATCGCTCGCCATAGCACTCACCTTGAGCAGGCATCCAACGACTATTCCCTCTTTCATCTTCGCGCATGTGAAGCTATCCCAGCGATGGTAGCGCCACACCCGAGGCTCTCTCTCGCAGCCCTCATTGACGTTCTTGAGTCTCGTCCGGAAACCTCCGTTCGCGTCGAGCTCGAGAGCCGTCTCTAAAAAATGAGCGTTAACAACGAAGGCGCTCTCTAAAAGAAAAAATCTCTCTCTCTCTGGATGGATAGCAACCAGATCGCTTTGGGTGAATGGCGCCAAGTACCCGGCACCCTACCAGTCCGCGCCAGTCCGCGCCCTTGTCGTGCCAGTGTGCTGTGAGAGAGGCTTGTGTTTTAAGAATTTAAACAAAAGAACTCTCTCTCACAGCAGACAGGCTCGACACAGGTGCGAACTGGCGCGTGCTAGTACTATCACCGCGTTTAAGAATTCTTCCGGCGCCGGGCGGCGCGAAGGCGCCTTCCCCCAAAAAACCCCTGCACGTCTTGTTACACGGATGGCGGACGAAGCCAAGCCTGAGGTGAACAAGATCAATGTCCGGGTGAAGAACCAGGGCGGGGAGGAGATCCACTTCGCCCTCAAATCGACGACGAAGCTCTCGAAAATGATGCAGGCCTATGCTGACCGGCAGGGGCAGCCGGTCGACTCATTTCGCTTCGTGTTTGACGGCGAGCGCCTCAATCCCGATCACACAGTTGATGATGCAGGATTAGAGGACCAGGACAGCATCGACGCCTTCCAGGAGCAGGTCGGCGGCCACGCTGACAAAGAGCGCGCTGCTCCGAGCTTCGGAAAGTAGTGCTGTGTGTACGGCATACCCACGCAAGATATAGCGCGCCCACGAGGCGGGCCGGCGCGAGTCGTTCGCGCGACGCTTTGCACGCGCACTGCTTCCGATCAGTGCATTCTGGGCGTGCTCGTCACTGCAGCTC